GAACCCAAAAAAATTCTAAAATTTGAGAAAATTTTTATTACCCCAGAAAAAAATTTTTTGGGCGAAAAACTTGACAAAATATCAACATAAATATGCAGCCCAAACAAGCTAAAATCAACAAATTTTCTGCTATTACTTAAAACAAAATTCTAAAACAAAATTCAAAATGAACGCTTTAAACGGAAAATTTATCCTTTGCTTTTTACTTGTGCTTTCATTTTGTACTAACCAAGTTACAGCCCAACAATGTGCTAAAACAGGTTGCCCATGCTGAAACTTTATATGCCCATCGTAAGAGATTATGATTTCTGAAAATAAAATATTATAAAGTCGGGCCACATTATAGGAAAACTTATAACTTATATCCAGTGCATATAAATTTGAATTTTGCTCTATTCAGTGCTTATAATCTAAGCATTGCTTATAAGCACTGTCTATAATAAAATTTAAAAAATATCTACAGTGGCGGAAATTTAAATAGGGAAAGGGTAAACTCTATGTAATTCCGTTCATCTTTATCCGATCTGGCAGATCTTAATTTTAAAAAATAGCTTAATTTCTATCTCAGTTGACATGTTTCAGCGTTTTTCAAAATTCTGATATACCGGTCTAACAGGTACTACATTTTCGACTTTTCGGAGAAATTTTTTTGAAGTCTGTAAAAAATATATGTGATTCTCCTCTAGATTCTGAATACAATGCAAAAAACCGCATCTAAATCGGTCCGGATTCTACCGAGTTATGAATTTTTGAAAATCGAAAAAACGCGATTTTTGCCATTTTTTGTCGATTTTTTGCAAAAATGGGTGATATTCCATTATAAGCGTGATATTCCATTCCATTATAAGCTTCGCCCCTTAACACCAAATCCACATATAAGTTCATTGATAGCCTTTTTAGTCGATTTAATTTCACCAAAAAGGTCCCGATTTTCGGGAATCGGGAATTTTTTGGTGCGATCCCTGACGTAGATTGAAGAATAAAGTGATTCCTGGGTCAGTTTTAAAAATCTTAAGGAGTGCTCAAAAGCCTTATTAAATCGTTTCCGTTTATTCGGACTTTTCAAATTGTTTGAAATTTTGATTGCCAATTTTCAGAATTCAATGAAAACTTAAATATAAATTAGAAAAGCTTTTGGGTAATTTCGAGGCTGATGACTTTTTCCTAAATTTTTAAATGTAAAAACCATCTGCGACCAAGCGCTTCATGAAACGACATTTTTGGGAGACTTTAGAGAGGACTTTTTGACATCTATTCTCTGAAAATTTTTTAGAGACTAAATGTTTTCTGAACCAAAAATAGTGCTAAATATGATTATGATCAAATTTTGTTGTAATAATCAATGTTTAAACCCAATAGTTGAAATTTTAAAAATTTCGGGAACTTTTTATGCACCCTGTATAAGACTCTTTGTCTTGATCAAGACTTTTCTTGGGGCTTTTTAGGTCTTGGCCTGAAGTCATTGTCTAGAGTTTATTATATTCCATCGAGCTACCTTGTTTAGCTTTTCCTATTAACTAAAATTCTTTGAGGAATTTTAGTAAATATTTAGATTAAATTTTAAATAAAACGAGTCCGTCAATACATTTCCAAAAAATAAAATTTTTATCAAAGGTAAATTTTAAAAATTACAATGGTTTTTAAAGAGTTTTAAATAATAAATACAAGAGTTTTAAATTGGATAATTTAAATAATAGGGGTTAATTGGGGTTAGTTGCGAGGTTATACTACCTGAAAAACGATAAGATAAGCATAAAGATCAAAACTTAGTTTTGTTTCATGACTGTGGGATTTACAGTATGTAACCTTAAGAGGTCTTTGTAATTCATGACTTAATAAGAAAGAACCGTATCTCTACAAGGAAAGTTAGATACCGAAGGGCACTATTTTTAATTCATATCTTAATTGTTACGGCTATACTGAAAACGGATCTATGTCAGAACTTACTACCGATGGTCTATTGTTTATTATGTCTTACCCATGCCTAGCAATACAGCAAATTTTTTTTACCTTCTTTACACTAGAGAAGAAAATCAAGCCATTCTATATTAAGCTTTGATGCTTATCTTATCGTTCAAAACAACGAAAAAAAATAAAATTAAAAAAAATGGGTTAAAAAATAAACTTAAAAATGGGTAAAAATAAACTTTAAAAAGGGGTAGAATTACATAAAATGAATTTTTAAAACGGGTAAAAATAAATTAAAAAATTTGGAACTTCGGTGTCTTCCTTTAAAAAATTTTTTTAAATATTTACAAATTTAAAAAATACGTTTCTCCCAAAATTTCAAACCAAACAACTCCCCTCTCTTTAAAAAATCAGTTGATCAATTCAAGCTCTTCAAAACGCTCTGATTCCATGTTGTCAGTATCCATCGAGCAATAACCATGCCATTTCAGAAGCATATCCTTTAGGAATGCATTGCATTCCGTTTCTTTCTTTGAAGTTCCAAGAGAATTGCATTTCGACTTCAGAAAGCTTTCAATTTCATTTTTAATCGTCTTGTAGAATCTAAACGTTTATTTTTTTAAATTATTGTATGGGAATAGAATAGCTAGTGAAAGCTCTTAAGGCGTGAACCTAAGAGGTAACACGTTTTTCCCCAAGGGTAGGGTTGGGGTTTTCGAGTCGGGCCGACGTTTGAGTCATTCTTTTCGGGCCTCATATTTTTCGGGCCGGTCGACCGTCTTTTTCGGGACAAAATTCGAGGCTCGACTCGATCTTTCGGACCGGGCCGATCGGGCCCCCCCAACCCTACCCAAGGGGTTTCTTATATTTTTTCGGTTTTGTGGTGAAGTACTGTTATTGAGTTTCCGAAATTTTCGGTCGGTAGAGAACTACAGAATCCTCTATAGATAATTCTTTGAGAGTGAGTAATTTTATGAGAGAATATAGGGAATATAGAACGATAATGAATTTAACCATAAAGTCTTATCTACCCGACTCTTTAAGTGAAATAGTTAATCACTTACCCAGTGTTCAATATCTCTCGGTCCATCATATCGTAAAGCTTTAGCCCATATTCCTTTTCAGCATCATCTTTGATGAAGGAGCTCATCTTGACTGTTCCTTGTTCATTAAACGTTTGGAGGAAGCGTTGAGCGAAGCAAAAATTCACAAAATATTTACCCAATCCAGTAAATATTTGTTTCAATCCTTCCTTATCCAATGAAGGTTTTGGTTGTAAATGAGCATGTGCATGGGCAGAAGGGTGCTCATGTATGTCATGTTCAGACGTATGAGAAGAACTGCCGATATTGTGGACGATAGTTGTTTCCAGAGCGTGTTTCTCTTCAACCTACATATTAATAGGAATGTACTTTCTAGAAAATTTTCCAAGATGTGATTTAAAAGCAAGCAAGCCGGCTTATTTAAACTCAAATTTAGTGATTTTTGGGGTTCAAGATGTTGTAGAAGTTTAATTACAAAAAAAATATAAGTCAGCCTTATCTTCTTTATAGTCCCAGATGGGGCCAGACTAAGTCAGCCATATCAATGCGACCAGGAACTTGGTCTTTCTCATTTTGTTTTAACTTATTGTATTTTGTTCAAGGAATGACATAATTAATATGGGAAATTAATTTTGATTTGATCATGAGTATTGTTGTGACCATGCGTGCCATAGAAGGAATATGAACTAATACGGATAAGACGTTATCGTGTTGTATGATGATAAGGCTGTGAGAAGCTTGGGATTCGAAAATCTGCATAGACAGATTCACCAATATTCGCGATACTAATCCTACAGACAATAAATTTTCACGTTGCAGAAAAATTATGCGAGTTAGAATATTTTAAAAATATTTTTGACCCTTTTATCATATCTCACCTCTTTTAAATTTTCATCCAAAATTGATTCCCAATTTAACACAAGATTATCAAATTTTGTCGTTAATAAACTGTCAAACTCTTTTTTCGTTTTATCCACAAATGCATCATTGAAATCTTCATTTAACACATTTTCAGCTTTATCGTAGAACATAATTATGCCATCCAGCATCTTTATCGCTTCTTCTGACATTTTCAACGACTTTTTCAATAACTCTTTCAAATGCTTAGTTTTTATATTGTTTTTCTGTAATTCTTCTAAAACAACATATCTAAAATCATCGGCAAATCCTCCATATCCTTCACTAAGTGACATAACATTGGTTATGTGTCCGGCATGTATTTTGTTTGATGATTTTTTTGGTCTGAAAGTGATTTTTTTATAGTTGCTAAAATGAATGTTTGTCATTAATAGGCAAGGATCTGAGGTTTATAAATCATCCATGACATTATCTTATATGTTGCTGAATTAATCAAGATAAGTGTCTGAGAACCCTATGTAAAGCATATAGCTATTTAATTCCTAAGGCTGTGCAGTAGGCGGTTTGGGTAATGGCTAACACATCAGTCCGGTCTAATGAAGATGCTGATTCGCTTCCAGCCGCCGATAACCTTTTGCACTAGCTAATGGAGAGAAATAGTTATAGCCCAGCTGCTTTACTCTTATACGATTATTAAGTCTCTATTGAAGTCTTGAAGGCAGGCCGAAACTAGCGGACCGACTTTTGCGGACCGAAACTTGCGGACCCGACGAATTTCTCAAAACATAGCTCATTCGAAAAGCTCGACGAGCTGAGTCGAATGACATCAAAATCATCGTGATTGTACAAGCTTGGACAAGCTTGCCTTTTATAGTTTAGATTCGATCCAAAATAGTTAAAGAGAATCTGAAGAAAAGTTGCTTATTCAAGGCTAGCCCGTTCTCTCATAGCGTTTAAGATTAGTAAACTAAACATAAAATACTAGGAACTTACATATCTTTTCGTTCTTCCTCCAACAAATCATTTTTAATATTTTCAATACATTTACAATTTTGTTCCATCTTTTGATACAACTTTGCTACAAATTTTTTATCGTTGGTCGATTTGAATATATCATTTATATCTTTTCCAATGCTAGTTTCTAAGGTATGGATAACATAATCCAATGTCCATACACTTTGACGGCACATATCAAGCGAATATTTTCGGTAAATATAAGTCTTGTATACAAACACTTTCTTGTCCGGATTGACCTGAAAATGTGTAAAAGTATGAATGGTAAGATATGTATTTGTGAACCTCGACATTCTTTTCACGTAGATCCTTCACATGTTTGTCCAAATTGTCAATTTCTTTCGTGATTCCTTCTGCTATTTCACCCCTCCCATGCTCCTTACCAGCCAAAGGAGCATTTTCCTCTCCCAATATCTCTTCTACCTCAGAAACTTGATTGTCATGTTCTTTACCAAGCAATGGAGTGTTCTCATCATCCACTTCCTCTTTTCTCTCAGAAGGTTCCGCTTTATCTTCCTTTGTACTCTTTTCAGGTTCTTTGTTTGTATTCTTTTTGTGATGATCCTCAATCTCCTTTACATGCTCCCCTACATTCTTTTTATGGTGATGATCCTCAAGCTCCTTTACATGGTTCTTTACTTTCCTTTTGTGTTCTGCTAAAGCCTTTTCCAAGAACCCAAATGGCTTTGATTTCGAAAGATTATGCTCCAAACTATTTTTATTCTCGCCCTCGACAATCTTGTTATAATCCTTCCAGAATTTTGCCAAAAGATGATGTGCCTCCGTATAGGTCGTTTTATGCATTGAATAGATGTATGCTTAAGATAGGATTGTTAATGATGTATTAATTTGTCGGAAATAGAGATTCAGAGACCGTGACTGGCCAATCAAAGGCCGGGAATGACAATTGGCGAGAGCCTCGGCGAGGCTTTGGCCTTCTCTCTCTAGAATGAGATTTTGAGTTAATTTATAAAAGTAAATGGAGAACTCTTCAGGGATACTTTATTAAGTGTTTACCGTTCACTTCCAAGAATTCAGACACTTAAAAGAATCCTGGCACATTTTTCGTATCAATCCCCAACATTCCAAGTGAAGCAAGATGGAAACCGTCTGGTAACAATGAATCATCTGGAAATAAATTAAATAAATTAAATTTTTTTGCGTAAGTAAATCAACCACAAAAGCTTCCTCTTATATGAGGGGAGTGTTAAGGATTATGGGGGAGTTTTAAGGGGAGTGTGAAGGGGAGTGTTAAGGATATATACTACTATATGGGGGGAGTGTTAAGGATTATGGGGGAGTGTTAAGGATATGACTACTTTATGGATATATACTACTATATGGGGGATACTACGAGTTAGTATTATGTCAGTACCTTGCAACCTTGGGATTTGCAAGTAAAACTAGACCTATTGCCTTCCCATTCGGGACGTGAAAAGCCTCTGTATTCGCAAGAAAAGCCCACGATAGCCTCCCACTCGTGGCTTGGGACTTGTTGAAACTTTTTGAACCACTACCCAACAGCGGAGGTATTTTAACAATAGGACTTACAATAATGTAGCTTCAACACTTTGGGCTGTTCAAACTGCGTATTATACTTTTCAATGTAGCAGTACATCTTCCAATTCTTCTTCAACTCTTCATTTTCATTCTTCGAAAAATATTCATCTTTTTCTTTTAAAATTTCCAAAAGTGGTTCAATTTCTGTTGAAATTGCTTCAATTTGTTTCCTACTTTCACTAATTTGTTCCTTAAGTTCTTCAATTTTTTGTTCAATATTTTTAATTATGTTCATATTTTCTTCAATTAGTTTATCAAAGTTATGATGTTCCAATTTTTTCTTCAGCTTAATAATTCCTTTACTTTCAGTATCCGTTTGTTCCTCAATTTTCGGAATTTGTTTGGCAAGCTTTTCAGTATTATTCTTAATTTTTCTTTGATGCTCATAATCCTTATTTTGTGCCTTAATTTCTTCAATTTTTCTCTCAAGTTTTTTAATTTTATCTTGATTTTTTTGAATATTCTCAATTTCGATATTTTGTTTCTGAATTTCTTCATTTACAATTTTCTCTTGCCCTTTAAATTCAGCCTCAATTTTTTCAAATTTCTCAATTTCTTTAAGGATTTGTTTCTCAATTTCTTTATGGATTTCTTCATAATATCTGAAAAATTATTAAATGATTTACTAATATTTAGGGGGAATATAGTAAAGCAGCTGGGCTATTTCTCTCCTTTAGCTAGTGCAAAAGGTTATTAGGCGGCTGGGAGCGAACCAGCAACTTCAGTAGACCGGACTGATGTGTTAGCCATTACACCACGCCGCCTACTGCTCAGCCTTAGGATATCCGTATCCAAATCCTTTCGAACCGAAAATTTCGGATATTTCTTGAAGAATATTAAGCCTAGATATCCTTATCTTGCACCTCTAACCTTGTAAAATATGTTAGCACATTGTCACTCGGCCCCCGAATAATTTTTAGTAAGAACCCCAACCCGAACATGCAGGTTCTATCACGGCAAACCCGGTATACGAAGCAAATTCCGAGTTGATTTAGGAATAATTTAGAATCCTGATTGAAATTTTAAAGCAAGTGAGGCACTGACTTAAACTCTTCTTGCTTGTTAGAATTGCTGAAATCTCTTACAGGATTTTTTAAACATTTTCCAAATTAACCTACGTTTTTTTCAATCTATAGCTCCCCATTACTTTACTCAACTTTGACGCAAATTCGAGTACATTGACATTAGTCTCATTTTGTAACATGGCCTCCATGTTAACCTGTCCTTCATCAGTGAAAAGGGTATTTAAACGATTAACCAAACAATACAAAATGCTCAAGACTGCTTTTCTATTTAACGAATTGTGGGATTCTAATTCATTTTTAGACTGCTCCTGATCCTTTTGTCTCTGTTGCTTCTTCCAGTTTTTAACACTGAATGCTAGTTTTTGCATAATTCGGGAAATGTAAACTTGAGTGGATTCTTCGACTATTTTTTCGACTTTTCCCAAATGTTTGCCTTAATTATAAATATTTTTATATTACGTAAGAAAAAGATTTTTGAAATTATCATTGTTAGAGTTCGGCTGTTCCGACACATACGACCTCTCAAAAAAGTTATGGAACACGTAAAGTATTGGCCGCACAAATAAATGAACTAAGGCTTTCACTAATGAGACCACTACTAAACCAATCAACTATGCGATCCCCCACCATATATTTAAAAGTAGAATACGTCCGAGTCGCCCGAGTTCGAGTTACTCGACTCGACCGCTCGGGTTCTTTGCGTAATTACTCGACTCGGAACTTGGGATCATAACACTTACATTACTCGAACTCTTAGTTGAGCCCGAGCTCGAACTCGGGTTTTTCAAACTCGGATTACTCGAGCTCGGTTTTTTCCCGATTACTCGGTACTCGACGTACTCTAATTAAAAATATGAACTATAAATGTGCCCAGATAGTCCCAAAGGATGTCGGGGTTTAGGATGATGTAAAAATCCCATAGAATAAAAATAAAATAGAATACCTAATTTTTCAATCGGAGTAAACTCTTCAATCAAAAACTCATTGTTTGCCAGTAAATCAAACAAAAATTTCAATTCTCTATCAAACTGATCCACTGCTTTGTAAGCTTCCCCCAAGAAATAGTTGGAATTTAGCTTCCAATTGAGAAGTTCATATAAGGAGTTGAGAACTTTGTTAGACTTCTCCTTCTTCGCCAGCTCTTTTACAAGTTTATTTTCTTTGTTTTCACCTCCTCCCAAATATTCGAGAATATTTTTAAAAGGAAGTTCAAGTGCTTTTATTTGCTTCGTTACTAGATCAGTTTTTGATCTGATTCCTTTATAAATTTTCTCCTCAGCACAGAAGACCATAAAATTATCAAACACATTTTTAACAAAAGTTGCTTTCTCATCCATCAGATTTTCGATCTTTTTAGTTGTCACATGCTCTCCCGTCTCCATTTGATTCTCCATTCTGTGTTTAGCTTTGAGTTTACTTTGTAATATAGTTAGGAACATTTTTTGCTCCTCAAAAGTTATCTCAGAACGATCGAGGTTTAAAAGAGTAAATTTCAACAAATATGTTGCGAGAGAACAATCTTGCACGTTTTTTCTGAGAGTATAATCCACCTCTATCTTTGGAAGTTTTTGGTTGATGGAGGATGAAAGTGTCTTATTTTGAGGATGAGTTTTCAACTGAAAATTTTTTATTAGAATTTTTAATCATTTTTTGAAAAAGGGTGTTAGAGATAATAATTATTGAATAGTAACTCTCGAACAAATTAATCAAATGATAGGAAGAGATTCGTGTATATAATTAGCGTAGTTCCAAAAATTGGAAATTGGAAAAAAATTGGAAATTTTTTTTCGACTCCAAGTTCCAAGATTTGGACCCTTTTCCTATTTCTATTAAAATTGTTAACAAAAATATCCTGGGGGGGGGGGGGGGGGGAATTTCTTATGGGAAAAATAGGGAGATATCTAAAAGTCCAGTTCAGTTGCATATATTAGCCAACCTTTTTTATTTCGTTAGTCAATTCATGATTTATATTCAAATCCTTCAATTTATCTGACAGTTCTTTATGACCAAGTTCCTTAGCATTTTTATCCATCAATGGCAAAACGGAATGGAAAAGATAATGTGCTTCAGTCAAAGTGAACTTGTGTTCGTTGAAGCGATCCACTTAAATATTTTAATTAATTCAGCTTATTTTTAAAGCTTCTTACAAGCTCCAGAGTATAATTCAGCCCATTCTCTGCTTTCTAATGACAAAGCCGGCATCTGCTTCATATCAATGAGCATGAAGCTATCATCTGCGAGTCTATATCCTTCTTCATCCACTTGATCTACGACTAGAAAAAAATGTAATTTATAATTAGGGTTGCCAAAATGGACCGACTCGGACCGAAAGATCGAGTCGGGCCTAGAGGTTTGGCCCGAAAAAGACTCGTACAGGCCCGACTCGATAAAAACAAGCCCGAAAGTGACTCGTACAGGCCCGACTCGATAAAAACAAGCCCGAAAAAAATGCCTCGACCGTCGGACCGACTCGAAAACGGCAACCCTATTTATAATGGTTATCCAGAAAATTTGTGTAATTAAGTCGGCTGTTAACCAAATAAAGGTAAAGGGTGATTTAAGGATACTGTATGTATCTAATATTCTCTCACTCACAAAGGAGAGTGCCTGAGGTGTCCATGGGACTTTGGGATGAAATTTGGTAGACAGGTAGATCATACCCTACTTTATTTATGAAATTTATTCCATTTTCATTGCGGGGTAGCGTGGACAGTGTTATAAGCCCCCAAAGTTTTTGGAACTGCTAGGTGCTGATTATTATAAAGGGATCTTTAGGAGGACTAAAGGAGAGAAGATTACCGTATTTATGTATTAGAACCCCATGGGGCTCTATTTTTCAACAATCCTCGATTAATGAGGGGGGCTCTAATTCTGAGGGAGGCTATAATACAGGGAATACGGTATTTTAGCATATAAAGGAAGGGGCTTGAGCCTCATGGCTGTGATACCCTAGATTTAAGGATGCTTTTAGTTCTAAAACATTCTAAATTTTTCATTAAATTTTACCCTTTATCAAATCCCATTCATCCGGGCGCTCAAAAATCACATCTTTTCTTTCAATAGAGCAATATCTTAAACTTTCCTCTAAAAGTTCTTTGACAAACATTAGACATTTTTCAGTAAAATCAGTGGCATTTTCTGATTCATTATGCCCGACATTTTTGCATAACTCTTGTATTTTAGATTTGAGTTGATTGGAAGTATTTATGTAGGGTCTGAAAATAAAATATTCAAGGATAATACATATAAGACTAGGATCACGACCATCCGATTTACGATTCCCGAATAACGGGAATTCAAAATTTTCGGGAATTAACGATTTCAAAAACCGGGAATTTCGCTGATAAGGACGATATGTAGTTTAAGTTGACCCGAGATAGGAACAATGGGATGAATAGATTGAAGCCGTGTATGAAGAGTTGTCCGAATTAATTCTAGAGGCATTCATAGAAGGGAGAAGGGACTCCGGGGACCTAGAAGGGACTCCAGGGATCTCGTAAAAATAACTCCAAAATCAAAATTTCAAAATAGCTAGTTTAGGGATATTCCAGTTTAAATTAAAATGGGCAGGATAATAAAAACGATCATCTCCTTGATAAAATAGTATAAGATTAACTAACACTATATTGACGATTCTTTTGCCCAAAACATTCCCTAACGAAGCGGCATGCTCCGCCAAGAAGGATTCTGTTGCACTGAACACTCGAATTTTTGGTTTTCCTTCTTCATTGAACATGGCAATAAATTGGTCTACCAAACAATGACCAACAAGAAGATGAGTCTTGTCTTTAAAAAGATTTATCAAACTCTTATCAGCCTCCTTATCCTCTTCCTTTGCTTCTAGAATCATTTTTGCATTTTCGAACAAGTACGCGATTTTTTCCATGTATTGTTTCATGTAATTTCCATTCTCGGTTGTAACAAGCTCGTCTAAATCCTTCAACTTTTCCACACGTCCTTTTGAATCTTAAAAGGGGTTTTTGTTTAGAATCACGTTTTTATAAAAATATAAGATTGATAGTCAGAAAATAGAGCTCTAGCGAGAGTTAGGGAGAGAGGAAGAAACTAATCTTTTCAGCTAGGCTAGGAGAAAAAGAAGATTTAAAAATCTCAAGATTAAAGTCTCAAACAATACATCTAAGAAAAGTCTCAAATTCCCTGACTTCCGAAGACTGGGTACAATCCTATTCCTTACATAGGCTTACATAATATAAATAATTTGAGTAAGAGCGAGATAAAAGTTTAATCCCGAGTAGGTTTCGGTCCTGCGACCTCCTGGCAGTTATTACTAGGCACTTTCGCTCCGCACGTACAGGTGCTCTACCAGCTGAGCTACCGGGACGCTGCTTTCACCTACTCTTTTATTAGATCTTAAACCTCCGCCTACTGAGCGTTTTAAATGTTAGACACTTGATCTTTCACTTCCTTACATTTGCTAAGAAACTTTTGTTGGAATTATAATGGGATAGAGGAATATTCCCCAAGACTATCTATAAAACAGTATTCTTAGTATAATACCTTTACTAATATCCAAAAGCTTCTCTGTAATAGGATTTACTTTGTTCAACTTTTTAATTAAATTGTTCATACGATTCTCAAACTTTTCTAATTTTTTTCCAAGTCGATTCAAATATTTATCCAAATTTAATCTTAATCCAAGCACTTCATATGCTTGTTCCTTTCTGCTTGTTTCGAAAGGATTGTCTTTTCGCAAAGGGTTGTTATGTTCATCTCGAAGTTTATTGAAGAGAAATTCCTCAACTTTTATGTAAGCACCCTCAGTTTGTTTTGTCTCATCATCCAAATTTTTAAATATAAACTTTAAAAGCATAGATTTTTAATAGTAATGGATTAGATTTGATTTTTATCATAGATTTCCAAACAAAAAAATATTGTGAGGGTAAGAAAGATAGAAAAGATAGAGAGAGATTCATGTTTACCATACTGCGTGCTAAGTTAGTTGACATTATCTCAAGGACACCAACCAACCGTACTTTATCAGTAGCAGATTTTGGTCGAATGAATTGAATGAATAATAACCCATAACAAAGATACTCGAGAATATTTGGTATAGTCATGGATTTCTAGTGCGGTAGTATTTCTAGTGTGGGTAGTTCACGTCGGAATCTCGATATGGGGTACATATCGGTATCAATCTCGGTTATGTAACATCGACAAATCTCATATCGAATTTTTCCTAGAATATCGCTATCGTCCAACTCTAATTTTTATTTAAGTGGTCTTAAATTGATTTAGTAGAAGAAACCATGACAAAACATGAAAATTCCTATAAAAAGAGCCTATGAAAAGTGCTTGTATCCCATTAACAAATAATAATTTAAAGGAAAATTTTCGGTTATTGTAAGATACCTTTAAATTGGCAAAAAATCTCTTAACACTTTCCAACTTGCTGTCAATCTGTTTTGCAAATACACATTCGCATCGGAAATATTTAACAATATCTAAAAAGAAATTAATTCTCTCATCATCAGACTCCTCGGGCATAGTTTTCTCATCTTCAGCTTCTTCGGGCATAGTTTTCTCATCATCAAAATCTTCGGACATTGTTTTCTTCTTTTCACATTTATTTTGATATCTATCTGGCAAAATAATTACAAGCTTTTCCAGAAATTCTTTTTGTTTTTCAGGCTCTTTGGATCCTCGATCAATGTTGAAAGCCATAAATTTAAAAATCTTTGAGGCAAATAAGCACTTTGAAATTTCTTCTCGCAATTCATTGTTTGTCTTCATTCCACTAGTGTTTAAAACTAGTGAGTTGAAGTCGTAAATATTTTTGCTGGATTTAAACTGAAAATTAATAATGAAATATCTATATGACGACGAAACTCGGTGTTAAATTCCGTGTTAGGTTAGCCCTATTCGGTTCCGATGGATGCTTTTGGACTGATGTTACTTTCCCCTTACTTCCTAACTGGACAAAATTCGGCACGATTTATATTGTTATAGCTGTGTTTGGAATTTTGAAATTTGCTCATACTCGTAATTAGTACACAGGTTCGAGTATAAATTTTGGTACGAGCTTCCAAACACGGGTCATATAGAGATTCCCCTGTAATTCCAAATATCTCTTGCCTTGTTATACGCAGCATCAAATGATTTGTTTATTTTTCCATTAGAGATGTCAGACTGTAAAAATTCTTGAAAACTAGAACGAGTCATTACATTCCCATCATTAACTTCAGAAAGTGAACTTTTAAGACTGTTCAAGTAATGTTGAATCTCAGTAAAAGTCAACTTGTGCAAATAAGATGCGGCAGCTGAAAGAAATTTATTAGTACATTCTATTCCGAACTAGAGACCGGACTGCCTTTTTAAGCATTTTTCTAGGCTTGTTATGTCCGGTCTCTAATATAAACAATATTCATACCAGATTCGTTATAGAAGCTTTCCCATTTATCTTCACTCATTCCTGGCATTTTTACCATTTTTTTCTGCTTCTTATGTATTTTTGCTTGATAAAAGCCTCTATCTTCAAGTTCCTCTTCTAAAATGTTATTTAATATATTATATATTATTCAAAATTAAATTTACCATTCAAGAACGGAAGAGCTAATTTACTCATGTTGATTTGATCAAATATAGTTTTCGGGAACGGCTGGTCAGTTAATGAACAGTAGGCTTTAACAAGCTTTTCTGATGTCCAAAGCATTGTTTTTACAACTTTACTTCCAAAACCATACGTGAGAGCCAATTTTGGATGGAAAATGTTATAGACTTCTTCCTCCGTTATTTTGTTGAATCTGCCTTTGATATCCATGTATTGTTCAATTGTTCTTTCAACAACCAATCTAACCATTTGTTTGTTTTTCATAGTGTCAGTGCTCAAATACTTTTCCATCCATTCAACACCAATACCGTTAGCTGTAAGTATTCCAACTCCAAAGCTAAGAATCTCAGTTGGTGTATTTATCAAAATTGTCGTGATTTTTAGAAGCTTTTCAGGAACCATATCATATTTAGAAGCAAAATACATTGGAATAAATGTGAGGAAGCTAAGCAACGCACCAATTCCCATGGAATTAACTGACATTGCGGCAGTTTTTTCAATTTTCATTGAAGCTTTGACCTAATATTTGAAGAATTTTACTTAATATTTAATATTTAAATATTCTATGGGTTTCATTTTTATGAATGAAGAAATCTCGATAAAAATTTATCATGATTCTAATAAAAGTACATGATTGACCAATAATTGTTGGGATTAGAAATTGGTATTTTGAAAAGCCAGGGTTCTGCGTTTTATTTATTATTTGGGTCGGATTCTGGGTTTGTAATACAAAATAAACCAAGGAAGGTCAATAAATGCCTAGGCTCGGACTATGTGTACAGGAAAAACCAAGGAATTGGGCCCGACCCATGCCGATCTCTAGTAGGGATAATAAGTTATGTCAGAGATTTGCAGAGATTTATGATCATTTGGAGGAATAAAGCAGGATTCAGAGGGGAAATGAATAGTTGCTAAGGCGAATTTGAAGAATATTGAGGGTAATATTATCATAGTATGCGGAAGCCCACTCAATGATACCAGTTGAGAAAATAAACTACAAGGGCTTCTTAGTAACAGTTACGGTAGTTTTTTAAGCAATTTTGTGGACCATTGGGGATTCTTTCTGTAAATACAAATACGAAACTAACCTTTGATTCAATGAACTTTCTTAATTTTTCGGTTTTTTCTCCGTCTGATATGGCAGGGTAATCAAATCCAATCATTATCTTTTTGCCAAGGATTTTGTTAAAAATTCTCCGGATGAATTTTTTATTGTTTTCTTTGTGTTTATCCTTTTCGTCTTTTCGAATTTTGACAGTCATATACTCAACATCAGGTGTTGGAAAGAATCCAGTCGAATATTTTAGAAAGAGTGCAGCACGTGTGTTTACTTCCCACTCAGCGAATTCAAGAGGGACGAGAGCGCCGGAAGTAGACGAAGCAATCTGATTAAACAAAATATTTATGTTCCAAAATCATTAATGAACTGATCAAATTAGATCAGTTTCAGAGCATTACTAGTTACGTACACTAAGAACTAGATTAAGAGACTATAGTGTAGAATATGAGATCATTTCTTATCGAAAGAACTCTGGTTTGTACAAAAGTCAGGTCCGAATGAATAAAAGGAATCCCGATCGTTCTCTCTCAGCTACCTCTGGATTTTCACGAACTTCTGGATTCTCAGCTACTTGTGTATTAGCCTAATAATCCACTCTTATCTCTAAGAATTGACCTGATAATCCACTCTAATACCTTCTACTCTTTAACTATTGACCTGATAATCCCATCAAATACCCATCCCAAATAGGTGAGCTTTGATCAGAACCCTTGAAAGGATCCGGAACCCTATTGATCGTTTTAAATCTTACTTGATTAGTGAACACATTTAAGCCCAGCAAGCTAAATGTAGAGTACAATTCAATATAATTGTTCATCACAGAACCTGCAGCAGCTATATTTCCTGCTATCCATGAACTGTTCAAATCGTTCAGAAATTCTTTCATTGTAGAGGGGAAGAACTTTCCTCCTTGGAGAGTATTTAAGAAGCGTTTAATAACAAACGAATCAAAAGTTTCAGCAAACAAAGGAGTTAGAGAGTAGAGAAAAACTGTGAACGGAACCACTAGGAAGGGGCAAACATGTGCCATTGCTGTAATCATAGCAGGCCAAATAACAACGTCCAAAAGCGCTCCAATAAAGCCAGCACCAGCCAAGCTCATTATCATTCCATAAGCAATGTCTTTTGTCAGTTGTTTGGCGTTGTAGACAGAAAGGAGTATTTGAGCTCCAAGTCGACCTCTGAACTCCTTATACATTTCCACATCGTGTTCCTTAACCTTCTTCGAAATAACTCGTTTTATAGGTCCTTTCAGCTCGTAACATTTCTCGATTTTTTGGTCAGTTTCCTTGATCATTTCGTGATATGTGCGGAACACATCCATATAAAAATCTTCTTCAGGTTTGGGCTCAACAAATTTAGATTTTAACCAATCCCATCCTTGCCGAAATATATTTTTTTCAATTTTCTTAAACTCCTCGTTAAGATAAGTTAGTGCTTTATTTGGAGGCGGTAAATGGGAAAGAAGCTCCATTGGTAAAGCTCCATTTTTTCTTTTATGTTTCTTTAGATCCTTTCTTATCTCTTTAAATTCATTATATAAGAATTCGATAGCTTTTTGATTCAATCCCGCGTCCTTTTCACTAAAACTTTCATGGTTTTTAAAGAATTGGACAATCTCTTCGTACTCCAAACCACTAATTCCTTTGAAACGCTTATCCAAAGGCTTTATTCTTACGTCAAACGATACAGTTTGGAGAAAGTCGAACGGATGAATCTTCGTCTCCCCAAGTTTTTTCTTCACTTCCTCATTCTCCTTAACTTGGATCTTTTGTTCAAACTGCTTTTTAGCTTCCTCCTTCCATTCTTCTATTTCTTTTTTAAGCTTATTAATGATTTCGAGTTTCTTTTGTTTATCCTCCTCTTTTTTGATATCCTCTAACAACTCCTTTTCCAAATTTGCTGCTAATCCCTCAATTTCTTTTTTAAGCTGTTTATTAAAATCTTCTTTCTCCTTTTTGTTCAATTTTCTCATTCTTTTCAAAATTTCATCCGTTGTTTCATAATTTTCATTCTTAGAGATTTCCCCTTCCTCGCCATGTCCTTGACTAGCCAAAGGAGCTTCATTCTCTCCCAATTTCTCTTCCACCTCAGAACCGTGACTGTCATGTTCTTTACTAAGCAGTGGAGTATTCTCATCATCCACTTCCTCCATTTCCTCATTTCTCTTAGAAGATTCCGCTTTATCTTCCTTCCTAGGTTTGCTTGTTTCTACCTTGAAGTCCTTAGCTTCCGATGTATTCATCTCATCTTCATTTCGAACAATATACCCAGCCGGTAGAGGCCCATTAATCTCATTTTCCACATTTTCAATAATTTTACTCAAAAGCTCCGCAGATTTATGAAAAATTCTCCTCGCCGTTTCTTTTATATTGCTTAAGCGATTCTTCTCAGTATTCGCTACAATCTTTGTAATATTTTTCAAGGTTAAGAAAACCTTTTCGCCCTTTCCAAAACCTCCTTTTCCTTTGTAGAGTCCTTCAAGAAGTGCAAGTGTTCCTAGACGTGTGTTTCCTTCATCTTCATCATCGTCATCATCGTCCTCTTCCTCCTCCTCTTCTTTTTTCTCATTTCCTTCCTCATTTTCAGCTCCTTGGATATCAAGTTCACCATTACTGTTCTCTTTAGCTTTATGATTCTCTCCCTCTTTCTTTTTATCTCCCTCCTCTTTAGATTTACCCAGTTTCTTTCCTTTATATGTCATCTTCTGTCTGACACTCTTCAGATTCTCAAGCTCCTCTTCCATAACTGTAGTGCCTAGATCAAAGATATAAGCCTTTGCAAATATATCCTTTTCTAACGGAAAATTTAAATGACACCCTTCTTTTGGTATTTCAACTGAATTCAGTTTTTGATAATTTTCTTTATCATTCCTTTCCAAAAACATATTCACAAATTCCAAAATTTTTCCAATGGTTTGATCATCAGATGTTAATCGACCTTCTTTGATTTTCACTTCCCAGCCAATGACCTCTGGCATAAAATATAAATCCTTTTTGACAATATCCTGTTCAATCACATAACTTGTGACGTCAAATTCTCTCTTCCTGAAATAAGAATAAATTTACAACTCTCCAACTCAGAGTGAGGATAACAAAATGAGGCCTTTTGAGAGATCAGCTTAGTTCGAAGTATTTAATAATGGAATTGCCGTGATATCTGCAAGGCGTCTTAGCGAAATTCGACTGTAAATGTTTATGCTATTAGGCCACACAAATGTTCTGGCTTAAACAGTCTAGAGTATGTTAAGCAAATATTTCAGCTAATTATTTGCTCAAATACGTCCTTCATCCTATTAATTGCCCTCTTCAGCGATTTCGAGGGGACAAATTAATTATCCCCTCAAAATTTTTATATAATTAGCCTTTCTATAACAACCACAAGTAATTGCTAGCGAGAAATTGGCGAGAAATTGGGTAAGCGAGAAATTGGGTAACTCTAGCGAGAAATTGGGTAACTCTAGCGAGAAATTGGGTAACTCTAGCGAGAAATTGGGTAATAATTACCCAGGGCACTTATTGGGGAGATTTAATTTCTTCCCAAAGACGGGTAGACTTTATTACGTCTTTTAGCGACACGCTTATAAATTTTTATTTTTTTTAATGACTCCCGGGCAGAAACCAAAATAATATTTTAATAAAAAACAAACATTGAAAATAGTTTTCTCAGCTGGTTGTCAGAACTACCCGTTGACACTACACGCCTACTCGGGGGTCTTCTATAAGAAAGTGTTCTCGGAATCTTAAAAGAGACACTTTTCTCGAATGCTCCTCGTTTTCCTCTCAATGAGGATTCAACATAATCATCGTCAAATAATCCTGTTTCAGTTGTATTTGAAGGTTTTTCAAATTCAGCAGTTTTCTTCTCTTCATTTATCCCATATCCATCCGCAAGGTAAATGCAAATGAATGAGGAGAATAGTAAAAGAAATATCAAAGGTGATTCTTTTAGAATCATCTAAAATGATAAAATTTAACAATTTAATTTGAAAACTATAGTAAACGAATTTAAATATTTAGTGATTAATAGAAGAGGTTTCTCCAGACCTGGCCATGGATGCGGATATGAATACAGATAATATTAAGATGCCTGCGGATATCCGCCTGCATCCGCCGTAATTATCCGGATACGGATACCAAAATCAGTATCCGTGACTATGTCTGGGTTTCTATGAGGGATAATAAGGTCATTTGTAGCAAAAAGGAGCAAGCAAAAAGGAGCATTTAGGGAATAAACCTTGAAGCTATAAAGAAGAGAGGATTTTGTTAGGGTGTTACCTTCTATCTAGTTGACCTGTCGGACCCTGATTATGTCCGATATATCAACCTCCAGCGTATAGGGAAGGGAAAATCATATATTTATTTGAGAGGAATACAATTATAGGCATTTTCCTATTACCTCCAATGCCTAACTAAGGTTAAAAAATCGAGAAAAAAAACAATGGAACCCCAGTTTAGGGGATCGAAATAGCTGGACCTCTATTTTATACAAAGAAAATCCGATTATAGCGGATGGACAACGATGCCATATAAGCTTTTTATATTAATGCTAGTTTCAGGATTTCTTTTTAATAGTATTTTAACTAATTAATTTAAAATAAAATTTAAAAATATTTAAACAATTTTAATTTTTAAAAGAGAAAAAAATTCTTTATTAATTTTTATTGTTTATTAAAAGTTAATAGGAAAATTAATTTTTTTAAAGGGTAATTTATTTTATAAAAAATTTTAAATTAGAATGTCTATAGCTAATTCTAACAGCTATTTATGGAGAAATTTCTTAAAGCCAAAACGCCCGCCCGCATGGAGGGCGGGCATTTGCAATCCCTCTAGCGATAGGCAGGAGAGCCATTAGGCAATTACTAAAGCCAGAGAAGGAGGAAGAGATTTGTCTATCAATCAAGCAAGAGATGGAGGAAGGGATTTGTCTATCACTCAAGCAAGAGATGGAGGAAGGGATTTGTCTATCACTCAAGCAAGAGATGGAGGAAGGGATTTGTCTATCACTCAAGCGAGAGATGGAGGAAGGGATTTGTCTATCACTCAAGCGAGAGATGGAGGAAGGGATTTGTCTATCACTCAAGCGAGAGATGGAGGAAGGGATTTGTCTATCACTCAAGCGAGAGATGGAGGAAGGGATTTGTCTATCACTCAAGCGAGAGATGGAGGAAGGGATTTGTCTATCACTCAAGCGAGAGATGGAGGAAGGGATTTGTCTATCAATCAATCGAGACATGAGCAAGGCATTTTTCTGTCAATCAAACGACAGGAGAGGGAAGAGATTTTGCAATCAATCAAACGAGAGGAGAGGGATGGCAGTTAGCAATCAATTGAGTGGAGAGGGAAGGGATTTCGCAATCAATCAATCGAGTGGAGAGGGAAGACATTAGGCAATCAATCAAAAGAGAGGAGAGGGATAGCATTTGGCAATCACTAACTCAGACGAGAGTTAGAGGAAGGCAGTTGGCAGTCAATCAAGCGAGAGTTGGAGAAAGGGATTTGTCTATCACTCAATCGAGACATGAGCATTTCTCTATCACTCAAAGGAGAGGAAGGGAAGGCATTTCTCTATCAATCAAACGAGAGGAGAGGGAAGGCATTTCTCTATCACTCAAAGGAGAGGAAGGGAAGGCATTTGTCTATCAATCAAACGAGAGGAGAGGGAAAGACATTTGTCTATCAATCAAAAGAGAGAAGAGGGATAGCATTTGGCAATCGCGCAAAGAGAGGAGAGGGATGGCATTTGGCTATCGCGCAAACAAGAGGTGAGGGAAGGGATTTGGCAATCAATCAAACGAGAGGAGAGGGAAGGGATTTGGCAATCACGCAATCGAGAGGCGAGGGATGGCAGTTAGCAATCAATCAAACGAGAGAGAGAAAAAGGCATTTGTCTATCAAAATCGAGCGGAGAGGGAAGGGATTTCGCAATCAATCAAAAGAAAGAAGAGGGATAACATTTGGCAATCGCGCAAACGAGAGGTGGGGGAAGGGATTTGGCAATCAATCAAACGAGAGGAGAGGGATGGCAGTTAGCAATCACTCCCTCAGACGAGAGTTAGAGGAAGGCAGTTGGTAGTCAATCAAACGAGAGGAGAAGGAAGGTATTTGTCTATCAACCAGTCGAGTGGAGAGGGAAGGGAGTTCGCAATTAGTCGAGACGTGAGGGAAATCGTGTATAAGAGAGGAGAGGGATGGCAGTTAGCAATCACTCACTTAGACGAGAGTTAGAGGAAGGCAGTTGGTAGTCAATCAAACGAGAGGAGAGAGAAGGCATTTGTCTATCAATCAATCGAGTGGAGAGGGAAGGGATTTCGCAATCAATCAAAAGAGAGGAGAGGGATAGCATTTGGCAATCACGCAAACGAGAGGCGAGGCATGGCAATCAATCAATAGAGACGTATGGGAAGGCATTTGGCCATCAATCAACCGAGAGGAGAGGGAAGGGATTTGGCAGGCAATGCCTTAACGTCAAGCAATATTCGACGGCAAGCATGGAAGGGCGCATTCTCTCAAATGAGAAGTAATTCTCTATAATTAAACACCTAATTAATTTCTCTAACTATCTCTCCTAATTAACTTCAAAAATTAATTTAACAAGAGTCAATGTTAAAACATGTTTATCGTTTAGTTGGAAGGTTTATCCTTTCGTTTATTTTATTATCCTTTTGTTGAATTATTTCTCAAAATTATTCGGCTAATCATTTATCTAGGGTCATTACTTAAAGAGTTTTGTAGTTGCTGTCTTGTAGCAAATTTCAAGGGCTTTCGAATAGCCCAAAATGAAAATTCAAAATAATCTAATCGGGGTCGAAAATATTTTTTAAAGAGCTTACCCCTGTTTTACGTTGTGGAGATGTTTTCCAACAAAATATTTAAAACACTAGTAATTTTAATCCCAAAATTAAATTTTGATTTTTATTAGTCTTTTAGGTACCTGAGGACAATATTTAAACGATAATTAAAAAAATTGGGGTCTAAAATGAGAAAACACGAAAATAGTGGTGGAACTATAGTTATGTGGAGCACTGTATAAGCTATCAAAAGACTAATAATCATTAAAATAGAACTTTACACTTAAGCGAAAATTCAAGTCATGTCCTCATAGATTACTGTATTTAATTTTTTAAATTATATTTGTTAATTTAAACAAAAGTTAGTCAGAAAAACTGAAGGATTTAACAATACAACGATGATACGTCTAAATCGTCGAGTCAGAATCCGGGATTCCGTCACTCCTCAGGTGCTGGTCGTATAATTATGTAGAAATTAGCATAATTTTTAAGCTTCGCTTGCCCTTGGAACAACTTCACCCGTTGCTTCCCACTTTTGAAAAAATTATCGGCGGTACCTTGGGCCTGCGGTACCTTGGGACTGCGGTACCTTGGGGTGTCCCTATAATTAAGTTGAAATTAGTTAATTTTCTAAAGTTTTTTCCTCTCTACCACTTTTTTGTCTAAATTTCTTTCTCTAACCTTTTTATAAATTGTAAAATAAATTTTAAAGTGTCTATCGCTTGACAGTCTCATGATTTTGCTTCACGAGTGTTAAAGATTTCTTCCTCGTGCTTTTGCCTTATGACTTGTGGAGAAAGGAGAAAAATCAATTTAAATAATTAATTAATTAAATTTTAAAATTTTTATTTAATTTTATAAAATTAATTTTTTAAAAAGTTTGGGAATGCGCAAGTTTTATATTATAAAGAGTAGGAAGAGTTATAAAACATTAAATTTATATCCATAGACAAACAAATACGCTTCATATTGGTTCCTTACCTATGGTTTTTTAGGGGTTTTGCTGCTGCGGAGGATGCCAGGCATGCCCACTGCACCGATAATAGGAATGATCTATGTTACTAGTGCAGAACCCAGCGACCGTTGACTCCCTGCGACAAGTTAATATTGGTTGATTCTAGTGTTATTCACGGTACCGTATTACCGCGGTATTTTTCGGTATACCGCGGTATTTTTACCGAAATACCGAT